CCCCACTAGGCAGCGCGGTTGCCGCCGCCGCCGCCATCTTTCCTAGCGCCGCGCTCGCTTCCGGGCAGAGGCCCGCCTCACTTTCGAAGTTTCACTTCCGGTGAACCCTGGGCGCCGCCATGGCAGCCGGAAGTACTGAGAGCCAGACCATCGTCAGGGGCTAGTAGGTCCTAGGAGGTTCAGAAGGGGCGATTCAGGGCGCCGCCATGACAGCTTTGGCCGGAAGGAGAGGCAGGGCGCCGCCATGACAGAGAGGATATGGAGGGGCTGGGGCGCCGGCCGGCCCGCCACGCCTGCCTGAGACCGGAAAAGACGAGGCTCGGAGGGCTGGCGCCAGCGGGGCCCCCTGGAGCGGAAGCGGCCGGCGCGCCTCGGAGCTTCGCGGAGAGCGGGCCGCCGGGTAGCCGGCCGGAGAGGAGCCTGACACCGCGGGGGGCGGGGGCCAGCCCGGAACTCCCGGCCCTGGACGCGCTGGGGAGGCGGGGTTTGTTATGGGGGCGGGGCTTCGGGGCGGGGCCCAGGGAGGTCGCCTGGGGCCGGGGGTTTCTCTATTGGGGTGCTGGGCAGGGCTGTGGGGCGGGTTGGAGAGTTGGCTCAGGACACCGCCACGCTGGGCCGGAGCCGTCATGTAAAAGATAATACACCAAGTTACTGCTTTAATATACAAATATGAAAAATTGGTGTTTATTTACTTTCTCGCTATCATTTGAACGAAACCGCAATAGAACTGCTTAACAGTGACAAGTAGTAGTAGTTATAGTAGGATTAATTAAACAATACGTGGGAGAAAAAAGTGGAATTATTTTTATAGTGTTTCTGTGTGTCCTCTGGTACAGCAATTCATTTGACCTACTTTTTAAACTTTTTGTTGGATATTTAAATCTGGTGGCATATTCTTAAGTTACATAAATGTAAGATTGTGTAAAAGGAGAACTTAAATGCAGCAAGACAGATACTATTCTATATTTAATAAAATAACGATGACGTTTATTTCTGTCCCATTACACAGTATAAAGGAAACCTTCTCGGGGAGAATGGTTTTAAAGCATAGAGGTAATTTGAAGTTGTGAAATCAAAGTTGGCATCCAAGTAGTTAGGAGAGAAATTGAGAATGCCCTATTTAATTCAGCTGTCCTTTTCTGATGACATTTTGAATTCTGAAGCAGTCTTATTTTAAAAATGAGTCCTTTTTTTCTTCTTTTTCTGTATGAGTTTTTGTCAAATACCAAACAACTTAGCCTCAGTCAGTTCTTCCTTGTCTGGGCTCCTTACGGCCTCTTCAGAGATCATCAAAGAATTTTGGAGAAACGACATGTAAATTTCTGCGTGACTGTAATTGTTTTCTCTATTCTAATCTTCAATGCAATTCCAAATTACAGAAGCACATTTTTCTTCTCTCAGACTTTGAAAATATGATTTTATGGCAGCTCAACTTAACAAAGTTGAGCTGCCATAAAATCCTTGGGGATGATGGGGGTAGGGGGATTGGAGAAAGGTGGTCAAGAGGTACAAAAACCAGTTACAAGGTTAATAAGTACTAGGCATCTAATAGCATGATTATAGTTAACATTGCTGTATGATATATATGACACTTATTAAGACAGTAAATTCTTTCTTCATTTCACTTTTTTAAAAAAAATATATTTTATTGATTTTTTACAGAGAGGAAGGGAGAGAGATAGAGAGTTAGAAACATCGATCAGCTGCCTCCTGCACATCTCCTACTGGGGATGTGCCCGCAACCCAAGTACATGCCCTTGACCGGAATTGAACCCGGGACCTTTCAGTCCGCAGGCCGACACTCTATCCACTGAGCCAAACCGGTTTCGGCATTAAGACAGTAAATTCTGAGTTCTCATCACAAGGACATTTTCTTTCTTGCTTTCACTTTTTTATTGTATCTATATGAGATGATGGAGGCTAAAAACATGTAGTAATCATTTTGTAGTCAATGTAAGTTAAACCATTATGCTATATGCCTTAAACTTATATAGTGATGTATGCCAATTATATCTCAATAAAACTGGAAAAAATTAAAAACCCTTTATTTTATTAGAGCAATTTTAGTTCCAAGCAAGATTGAGAGAAAGGTACAATTATCCTACATAATAAAAGGCTAATATGCAAATAGACCAAACAGCAGAACGACC